AAGACTTTTTTGATTTCTTAGTATTTATTAAGTATTTTTTAGTTCTTACTAATATAAAAGAAGATATTATATTTTGCATATTAACAAAGCTATAATTATTTATATATACAACTTTAATTATTATTTATTTAAAGATTCTGTTTGCAAATAACTTGCTAATTGCTATATTTGAAACCTGTTTGTAGATTTCTTGTTTAAAGTTTTTGATTTTTAATATTTTTTTATAATACTAAAACAAGCTTAATTTTTAATCAACAGACCTTAGAACTAATTTACTCTCAAAATAAACTTTATTAAATAAAAATAAATTTTATACTATGCTTATTTTAAGTTTCTAATACCAAAGATGATTCTGTATTAAATAAGACTAATTCTTTTTACAAATGTTTTTTTTTTAAATGTTAAAATGAGTATATGTGACTTAGGATTTTATTGATAATATCAGTTGGCCAGCATCTGTTGATGTAACAATGCAGAGACAATCATAAAAAGAGTATACAACTAGCCATTTATATAACTTTAGTTATTGTCTAATTTAAGTAGTTTGTCTAAAAATTTAATATTAGTTGCTATATCTAGGACCCACCTGTAGGTCCTCTATTTAAATAATCTAATCTCATATTTATCATACTTTACTAATAACTTCAGTAAACTGATAAAGATATATTATAGTTACTAAGTCATATTTAACTTTGTACTAAACCTATTAGTGTATTCTGTATTCTATACTTACAGCTTATCTGGTATTACTTTGGCCTAAATTATTACTTGCAGTTAGGGCTAATCATTAAATTGCTTTTATCTTTATAAGGTTTACACAAAATCTCAATATCTATCTTTCTAATGTTCTCTTTATTGTCTTCTACTAATCACTATTCAGAACAGACAAAACTTACTGAACTTTTAATTAAGATAGCCCAATATGGTATACCTTAATATTCTTTTCTTTTGGCAATTCTGGTGGCCTGGTTGGTCATATGCTCTTCTATATATCTTGCTATTTGGTTTATCTATCTATTCTTTTAAAGATGTTTTATAGGTTTTCATTAGTCTGACAGCACTGTCAAAAGTTTTGTATTACCTTTTTACTCATAATTTCCAAGTGAGTTTCTGACTCTTTAGTTCCTTTACTTTTCATGCCTGATGGTTTTATTATAAGTTTGCACTGAAGTCTTATGCAATACTGATTATTAACATTTCTCTATGTAAATATAACATTACACTTAGTATAGATGCTCTGAGCTCCTATTTGAGATAGTGCAACTAAAGATTATAGATATATTAATCCAACTGATCAACAGAGACAGTTACCATAATACAGACATATTTTTCAAAATTTGTTATTTATAAGATTTAAACTCTAGACTTGCTACTTAGGAATTAACAACCTGATCACTTCACTAGGTTGTCATACTTCTTTTTTTTACAAATATTAATAACATTCTTTATATTTTTTACTAAAATAATATTTATATTTTGCTATATTGCTTTTCTTTTAGAAATTTTTTAAATTTAATATATATTTTTACTTAAACTTTACAAAGCTTTATATTTGATTATAGACTTTAATTTTTTGAATATAGAGTATTTATTTTTAGCCAAACTCAAACTATTAACCTTGTTTATAAATGAATAAGAGCTTAACAACTAAGCTATAAAATCTAAATCTTTATAAAATTTAAAGTTTTTATTTTTAATTTTTTTTTTAGTATTAAGATGACCTTTTTGGTCCTAGCTTTTTATTAATACTTATATTGAATACATGTTTTATATAAATGTATCTATATTGAACTATTAAATAAGTATACAACTGGCTACATATATAACTTTTCTATATTACTTATTTAAGAAGTTTGCTTAAAGGTTCTTCACCAGTTGCTATATCTAACACCTTTGTTTAAATATTTTATTTAAACTCTCTAATCTGACTCTAATATTAATTTTACTAGATTACACAGACTCAGATCTATTTATTTTTAAGTATAGAACTATAATCTTTAAACTATTTTTATCCTTGAGATAAACCTACTAAAGCAAGCTGTATTTTCTTTTACTGCTAATCTGGTTTGATACTATGGCTAAGACCAATACTTGCAATTAGAGTTATCTATTAAACTGCTATTACTCTTGTAAAGTTCATCTAAACTCTGGTTTATCTTTCCGATTTCTTCTTCATAATTCTTTACTAATTGCAACTTGGAACTATCTAACTTTCCAAACTTCCAATCCAGATGGCCTAGTATAGTATATTTATGTATCATTTTTTTCTGATGATTTTGACAGCCTGGTTGATCATATGCTCTTCTATATATCTTGTCATTTAGTTTATTTGACAGTTCCTATTAAGGTGTTTTATAAGCTTTTATTGGTTCAATGGCACTATTAAAAATTTATGCTACTTCTTTATTTAGGATTTTCAAGTAAGTTTTCATCTTCTCAGTTTCTTGGTCTTTTATATCTCATTGAAGCTTTATACAACACTGATTTTTTACATTTCTCTATATATATATAATATTACACTTCACATAGATGCTTTAAGCTTTCAATGTTAAATAGGACCTAACTTGGTGTATCTAAAATTACAGATACTCAAAACCTAACTGATCAGCAAGAGACAGTTATCATAATACAGATATAATTTTCAAAATTTATTATTTATAGAAATTGAATCTTAGACCTGCCACTTAAAAGTTGACAACCTATCTATTTCACTACTTCTAAATTTAAAGTTTTTATTAAATAAACAATAAAGTTAAATATATTATTTTTATATTGCTATAAGAATAAAAAATTTATAAAAGCTATAACATTATTTTATCTATTACTTTTACTTGTTTTTGAAAGAAAATTTTGTAAAAAGTAAATAATTTAATTTATTATTTATTTTTTTTTTTGGCTTTAAAGAGAAACTTCTATGACTTCATAAATTTTATTAAGTATAATATTCACTTATTACTTATATAAAAAAATATTACACTTTGTATATCAACAAAGCTACAATTAGCTATATATACAATTTTAGTTATTGTCTATTTAAAAGTTTTGTTTGCAGATGACTTGCTAATTACTATATTTGAACTCTGTTTGTGGGTTTTCTATTTAAAGTTTCTGATTTTTCAATATTTTTTCTATAATATCAAACTTAATTTAATATGCATCAGGCTTTTAAGCTACTTTATTTATAAAATAAACTCTACTAAAACAAAAGTAATATCTTGCAACTACATCTGTTATGAGTTTTTTTGCTTAAAGTATTCTCTGATTAGTAAGACCAATTTTTTTTTACAAGTCTTTCTGTGTTTACTATTTCTTTCACCAAGTATAGTGCTGCATTTCACAGATTAATTTCTTTTTAGAAATTTCTAATTCAAACAGATATTCATTTAGCTAATGATTTGAATCAATTAAGCCATAATTAGATAACCAAACTGAACTGAACAAATTTGAATAAACTAGTTAAGCAAATGCTTAACTAGTTAATCTAATATAATTAGTTAATTAGTTAATCTGGGCATAATCAATTGACCTAATATAATCAGTTAACTGATTAATATGATATAATTAGTTGATCTAATTAACCTAATATAATCAGTTGCTTTATATAATCAGTTGGCCTAATATAATCAGTTGAACCAACATAATTGGTTAATTTGAATCTAATTTTTGTGACTTGCCAATTTTTTTAAATAACTTACTTGTAATTAGTTAATTTTATACAATTGAATTTATACAGTTTAAAGTATTTTTATATATGTTTTAATATGATAAATTTTTTTAACTATTATTTATAAAAAACTTTAAGTATTTTGAGTCTTTTTGGGATTTATCTTGCCTAGACATACTTCATTTAGAGAACTTAGAAAAATATTAATAAGGTAATAAACATATTATTTATTGTAAAATCATGTAGTTCTGCATTTTTTTACTGCTGTATTCAATGAAGATATTAAAAATAAAGCTTTATTAATTAAATTTTTAATATATAGAAGTACAAACAAGTAATGCTAATAGTTTTAATATATTGTTTAAAAGTAAAACTTGAGATTAAAGAAACAAAGATCTATATACATATTATTATTATATTAAAGGGTTATTAATAATAGTTAAATAAGCTTTTTAAAGACAAAAACTATGATATTTTAGAATAATAACAATTTTATAGAAAATTTTAATATTCAAAAAATATTTAAATAAAGAAAAAAATTATTTAAAAGTTTACTAATATAAAAAATTTATTAGATTTAATTATTTTAAAAATTGTTTACTAAAATTTATAAAATTTTATTTTAAATTTTTTTTTGCTATGCTGATGCTAAGTATATTATATAAACTCTTAATTTTTAAAATATTAAGTACTGTTACAATCCAAAATAAAATTGTCAATATTTCATTTAAGTTACATCACATAATGAAGTAATAATATATAGTAATTATTATAGCACATAGTATATAGAGTGTAACTAGTAGATATAGCATATAGAGCATAATTAGTAGATATAGCATATAAAGTGTAATTAGTAGATATAGCATAATCAACATAATTAGTAGATATAGCATATAGAGTGTAATTAGTAGATATAGTGTAATCAGTATAATTAGTAGATATAGCATATAGAGCATAATTAGTAGATATAGCATATAGGAAAAAAGTATATAAGTAATATGGTTATAATGTAATAAAAACAAGTCTTACAGTATAGTCAATAAAGATATATTTACCCTTAGTACTTGCCCAAATCCAATGCCTCTTTTGAGTACTAATTCATCTGATGTTATATGAGAGATTCTTATTTACTCTATGAATAGAGAATTTTAGAGTTTATAATTTTTCATAATACAACAGTATATATTTTAATTTATATTTGTTATATATATATATATGAGAATTAGAAAATATATTAATAAAATTATTATTTCTTTTTAGAAATAATATTTAAGAAACTAATTTGGGTTTTAGATTAGAACATTGAAAAGTAATATAATTTTTAGCATCTAAAAAAATGCACTTACTAGAAGCAAAAATAGCAAGAACACTAAGATATTTTTTAACTAGTTTGAGAGAATTAAAAATTGGACTTAATGCTTTTGCTACTATAAAAGGAGATCTGTATTAAAAGAGGCTAATAGTGTTCATCTAAAGTTAAGGTAAAAATCTAATTCATCTATAAATTCTTGTGATCTTTAAGCACTACTAAATATAAGATTCTTAAACATATTATTAGAAAAGAAATTTTTTGAGCTAAGTAAAGTAGCATGTTTATTTGATATTGATAATTGTATATTCATTAGTTGATGAAGTTAAAATCTATATTCATTAATGATATTATTATAAGTTTTTTTATTTGCAAAAGTTATTTCTTTTAGCCAGAGGTCTAATAATGTTATGAAAAAGCAAATTTGTAATAAGTGATCTTAATATTTAAAAAGTGAATTGTATATAATATTTTGTATATCTTTTATAATTAATTTAGGATTATTTTCAGACTAATTTTCTTGAGTAATAAACAATATATTACTTTTATTTTTATTATCTAAAGAATTAGACTCTGAATTATAATTAAATGTTTTTTGGAAATCTAATGTAATTAATATTAATATAATTAATAAGTATATATTAGTTAAAATTAAAAAAAATAGTACTGGAATATAAAATAGGTTTTTGGCTTTATATGAAACAATAACTACTAAATATATTTTTTAAATTTTATTTTTAAGACAAAGACACTAATTATTATTTGATATGCCAAATTTTTTGTTGTAAATAATTATAAAACTTGGATAACCATAAAATCTAAAATTCTTATTTTGCTAACTATCTTAACTCTAAATATCAGATATATTAATTTTAGTATTAGTTAATTTCATAATCATTTATGATATTTTTTAATTTTAACTACTAATATTAAAATTTTATACCTTCAGTATTATTATAGTTATATTTATTAAGATCTATATTTTTTGTATAATAAATCTTTATTAATAAATGAATATATGCTATAGTAAGATATCACCCAACACTAAAATATTCAGTAGCATTGTTAAAAAATTTTAATATCTTAATTAATTTTTTAACAAAATCCTATTTATTATTTTGTAGTATTAATCTGTTTAATTTTTGACTATCTTTTTGTATATTTAGATCATCATCAAGAAGCAATATTACTAAAAGTTGTCTAATTGCAAGACACAGCTTAATTAACCTTTTTTATAATTAAAATTTGGAATTTCAATATGTTGGTATATCTTTAATGATTCACAATATAAATACAAACTTATTAATAGTTATTTAATTGTTGGCTATTATTTAATTTCTTTTTTTATCTTCAAAATTATTATTATTTTCAGATTCATCAGATAAGTTTAAGTTATTACAAAACATTTTTTTTGTTTTTTTTATAGGCTTCAATTTGTACAGTATCTAATCTCTAACTTTGTTTAGATGAATTAAAAAATTTAACCAAATTTTATATACAAATAATTTGTTAATGCTTTGTCTTAAATGCATCTTAAAAAAAAAAATAATAATAAATAAATAAAGATTAAATATATCTAAACATAATCTATTTGAAAATAATATAGTAACTAAAATATAAAAAATATGTAAACAATATTATTAGATATAGTTAGATTTAAAGACAAAAGAGACAAGACTAAATAAAATATATAAGTAAATATATAAATATAATTATATAGTATTTTTAACATTAAAATATTAAAGATGTAGTGACTTAGTAATGTGGATAAGTTGTCATACTCTCAAGTGGTAGGTTGTGAGTTCAAAACCTACTGATGGCAAAATTTGGATAATCACTTATGTAATATATAGATGGTATTACAGTGACAGCATTCTGTTGATCAGTTGGGATAAGATACTTGTAACTATGGTTACACTAGCATGACTAGCAGATCTGAGGAATTTGTGTAACCTGTTATACAGAGAAATGCAAACCAGTACTGGGCAGTGCAAACCTAAAATAAGTTCTTGGGCCATGTAAATCTGTAGAACTAGGAAGCCAGAGCCCACTTAGAAATTCTAAGCAGAAAGGTAACACAGATATTCAATGGTACTACTGTAAAGGCTATATCTAGGAAATAGATACCAATGTGAAGGATTCAGGTGTGCAAGAACCTCAGGTGAAAGGTACTACCAACCAGGCTGCTGGATTTCAGACCAGAGTAAAAAGGATATTGGGCTGGTCTCAATATATCAAGAACAGGTTACAGTCCTTCCGGGCCATCTGAATTGGGAGTTTGGGTTCAAAACAGGAGTTTACTAAAAGTACTAGGGACATGCTGTGAAGTTAGTACTGGGGTCTGGGTGAACTCTGCAAGAGTAGTCTGTATTAGTGTTCTAAAAGTAGATAGATAGTTAACAATAGAGGGCCTCTTGCATCTTACTGGCTGGTAGTGTATTCTAAAATGTGTAATAGTTTGGGAATCAGTACAAAAAGGATAGGTATCATATTGCTCAGATGACATACCAGTTAGGTATATACAGGAGGTTAGTTGGGGATTTCAATATGATAGGGTGGATGATTAGAGGATTTAAATAAATAATTTTCTAGTAGGTTATAGGTATGGCATCTAGTATAGAACCTTAGGGCAGACTACTTAAATAGGCAACCAAAAGTTGCACACATGACTAGCTGTACTTTCATCTTTATAAAAATAGTTATAATAGCTAACCTAATATAAAGTCAATAAAGTATCACTACAAGTATGGCCTTTAACAAAAAAAAAAAAAACATTAGAATATTATTTAAGTTTTAATAATATTTTTGTTTATATAATAATTTAATAATATATTCTAACTGCAATAGTTGTCAAGATAACTACATATAAGCATATAGTAAATACAGACTTAGATATCATATAAGTAAAATAAAATCAGTAAAATAAAATTAGAATAGCTAATATAGTACTAGTAATAATTTTATAAATATAATTTAAAATTATGTTATATCAAATTTAGAACCTAATAAACCAACTAGCAGTATCACTAAAGTTTAAAAAAAAATTAATTAAACCAAATAATTATTATTTTATTAACTAATAAACAAAATTTGATTTAAAAAAATAATAAATTAAAAAATAAAATTTAATAATTTAATATTAGTAATACTAAATTATTTAAAAAAAATCATAAATTAAAAGAACTAAATAATAGTTTAAAAATTATTTTAAGAAATATAAAAGATTAAAAACTTTATTACAAAATAAAAAGTATTAAAAAGTTTGATAATTTTATTATTATAATAATAATAATTATAAAATATATTTATAATGTTTTGTATATATTATATGCTTTTATTATATTTTTTAAATTTTTTAAGTTTTTATAAATTTTATTATAGAAATTTTTGATTTAAATTTTTTTACAATAGAATTGATTTTTAAATTAGTATTAGAATTTAAAAAAAATTTTTAGAAACATAAAATAGTTTTACTTAAAACATCTTATACTAGTTAATAATTAGTTTTTAAAATAATATATATATAGTACATCAGCAAAATAAATATGCGAAATATTGTGAAAGATTTTGCATACCAAAAATCTTTTGAAATAAGTGTAATTGATATAAAATTATTTCAAAATAAAATAATTTCACAATATTGTAAAAGAAATGAAATAATTTCAAAAGAATTTCGGCTAATTTACAAAATTTTAAAAAATAATAAAACTAAAAAAAATGAAAAAATAATTTGAATTGTAAGTAGACAGGTGGTTAAGTTCATTTACACGGAGGACCAGGTTAATAACGGCCAGACCCAACATACAGAACAGGCTATGGTATCCTGCACAGCTGTGCAAGCCGAGCATATAGTGAATGAATCTACAAAAGAACCTTCTACTTTCTTGAACTCCATTTCATCATTCCATATCAAGAAAGAACTCCAAGACTTATCTTACAATACACTATATGAACCAGACTCATGCTATAATGTGTAGCTAGCTGGGTTGAATCTACCTCTACTTTCACATCCCCAAACACTTAGTTTCTTTTTAAAACACATTCATTATTACAATTATACACAATTAAACAATTTCAACTATGCACTTACAATATCAATTAAAATTGATTATAGTGAATACTATATACATTTACTACACAAATCTCAACCTTCATTTGAATACTTTTCCCACAACTATCAGCCTATACCTATTACCCATTTATACCTATTTTTTCTAAATTTTCTCTAATAAATAACAACTTACCAAATCCAAATTCAATTATAAAGAAAAATGATATAAAATACTCTTACTTTCAACTAGTAGGAACCATTTTAAAAGGCTATGATGAAACTATTATAGCTAAACACCATTACAACAACATTTAATATAATACCTGTTACAACAAATTTCTATTCTACAACCATCTATCACTGCTTTTCCATTCTCAAACTATTATTTCTTTCTTATGACACATTCACAGCTTTGGCTATTTACCTGAAAATGCCTGTGGCTATACATTAACTATTTCTATTAAAAATGACCATAGTGAAGCTCATGTTTACCTTTCATCAGAAGCTAAACCACTACCTAATCACTTTATCTTACCAATCCAAGCTATCTGGCATTATCTGAACATTCAGTTAAAATCAAATACACCAACACCAGTCTTCTCTATACCAGCACCTTTAGCTTCTATCCCTAGTAATTTAACACAATCTAGAAATTCTAATATCTTACCTCTAAATCTTACAATCTGCACTCACAATGTCCAAGGATACAATGAAAATCTCAAACAGCAAGTCTGGAAGGATTACTGTATTACCTATTCCTTAAACATTATTAGTATCACAGAAACTAAAATAGCAGAAAATAATGCTATTATTAAATTTAATAACTCAAAACATTACTCTTATTACTGGTCATGTACTAATAGTTCCAAAGCAGAAACTGCACTTATGATTCATAAACATCTTACACTCCATATACACAATATTCTTACTCTTTCTGGCTATGCTATCACTATAGACCTCTTCTTTAAACACGATCACAAATTTCGAATTATCTCCATATATCTATCATGTGAAAACTCACAATTAAGACTGCAAATTCAAAATACTATTATTCAATGGATCCAAAAAGCTACTAACTGAAACATTTTACCTATAATACTAGGTGACTTTAATATACTACCTAACAATTTAACTTCTTCATCTATCAAATACAAACTATTGCAATTCCTACAATACAATAATATTTATGATCTAGCAAATCATACTAATATCTT